AAAAAAAGAAGAAGCAAGATATATCATGTACAGGTACAAATTTCCTATGATGAATGTTATCACTTTGTATATCTAAAATAAAATAAAAAGCAAAAAAGAAAAACTGAAGCAAAGAAACCAAATAAGCTTAACTGATCTTTGACTATATAAAGTTCACTGGAGGGAAGACAGCCTTCCCAAAATAGGCAGTGGAAAAACTGTATAGCCTTAGACAAAAAAAATAAACTTCCACATAACCTTCATACATTATTTTTAAAAACATAAAATAGATCATAGACTTAAAAGTAAAGCATAAAACTATGCAATTTCTACCAAAACACACACACAAAACTAGATAAATCATCAATTATTATCAGAGTTGATACCAAAAGCATAATCCTTCAAAAACTAAATAAGATCCTGTCAAGAAGAAAAGACAAGCTGGGCATGGTGGTACACACACCTGTAATCCCAGTCCTTGAGAGCCTGAGGCAGGAGGATCAGTGAGTTCGAGGCCAGCTTGCGCTACATAAGTGAGTTCAAGGCCAGCCTGCACTATATAAAAAAAGAAGAAGAGGAAGAGAGGGAGGAAGAGAGGAGGGGGTGGAGGAAGAGGAAGAGAAAGGATACAAGCTATGCATCAGGACTATAGAGGACTAGCACCAGAGAGTTTTATGGGAAAGAATATGTCTGTATCTTGATTGCTGGTTGTTATCAAGCATATTCATGTGATAAATTTGCAGAGAGCTACACAAACACACACACCCAAACATATAACCATTAGCAAAAACAGCATGGACCTCCCTGTATATTGTTTTTACAAATTTCTGTGAGTCTACAAAAATTTTTAAATTTCTTTTGAGAGAAGGTCTTATTTGAATTCACTATATAGCCCAAGCTTGCCTTGAACTTGCAGCAATCTTTTTCCTCAGCTTCCTGAGTGCTGGGATTACAGGCATATGCCACCACACCAGTGCAAAATAAGAATTTAGTAAATACTAAATGAAGGTTTACTTTTTTAACATTTACATTGTTTGTAACAGGAATTGAACTCAGGACCTTGTGCTTGCCAAGCAGGAGCTTTCCCTCTGAGCTATAGCCCCAGCCCAACATTCACATTTTTTAATTGAATGCCTACCCGCCGGTTTGTGAAGGATGAATAACATTCTTTAACTAGAACTGTTTTGATCATATCTGGTTCTGTGATGGCCAGCACAGGCTGTGTACCGTCATACAACCTGTGTTAAGAAAATAAATATGATTAATGTAACAAACCAGATTCTGCATCTGAAAGTTTGCCAGGAATCTAGATTTTGACCCTGACATTATATAATCTACACCCCTAGTAGTAAAAAGCATGGCAGCATTAGCTCTAATTAAGTTAGGGGTTCTGACCACAGAGGCCACTAGAGATGTCACATAATGTAAGGTTATGTTGTTCAAGCAAGGAAGAGACAAAACACAGAATACCTCTTCAAAAAGATAATAACTAGAAACAAAACTAGAACTATTCTTCCAATGTCTGGGTGATGTGAATATGGGTACTGCCCATACCATTCTCTGAAATGTTTTGTATGTTTAAAATATTTCAATATCAGTGCTTGAGAGGTAGCTCAGTGGAAGAGTGCTTTCCTCATATATATAAAGCCATAAGTATAACCCCTTAACACCACAAAAATTAAAATTAGAAATGCAATAAAATGTTTCAATATCAGAAAATGTATTACATTGATGAAAAAGTAAAATTATCAAGTACTCATGAGTACTTAATGTTGCAAGGGGAAATTGGGATCAGACCAATGGAGACCCAGAATTCTCTTATTCTTGCAATTGGATTATATTGTTTTTATGGCCCATGTCAAGTCAGTAGACCCCTGGGACCAGCACTATGGTTCCTAAGGACTGATAAGATGAAGAGGTGGGAAGAGGCAAAGCTTTCTTCCACCTGCTTGTAACCCAAAGCTCATGATTACGTCTCTCCCACTGCTCTCCAAATCTTCAGCAGCTGTGAAAGGGACAGCTGCTGCAGGTGACCCAGATCTCCCTATAAAATCACTATGAATGTAGCACACAGGGAAACACAGTGGTTTATACATGTGCTACATTACTTTGTCAAAGCCAGAAAAATAAGGCACACCAGGAAATACTTGCGTACAGTTGTATTAAAAAGTCTTGGCTTGAAATCAAAAATAAACAAAACAAACAGAAAAACTCTACGCTTGCAGAAGTTGTTTAAAGGGCTGAGTATAAATTATTTCCCAATCTTTGTATCTATATTTCTCAGGCTATATTCCAAAAGCACATATTAAATTTAAAACTAGTGTAAAGAAGTCTGGGCTTCTAACTGAAAGGAATTTTTGTGGAAAGCAGATACACTCATACATTTATGAGCACATATTAGAAGGGTATGAATTAGTACATTTTATACAACTAAAGAGACCCTAAGAAAGGAAAAATGGGGAAGAAGAGAATGACCATACACTGGACAGAAAGTAAAGATAGGAGTCTCTGGGTCATGAAATCATGGAGAAAAGTCATAATATGCAACATTCTCAACCTGATCCAACTATGGACTTTGACATCTAGTGACCTAGGGGACCCTTGACAGGACAAACCCCCAAAAGCTTTATATTACTCAGCTGCATATCCCAAGAGCTCTGGGCTGACATCGTCCTCATATACGGAGTTCCTCATTCTCACAAGTCTACCCACTGGAAGTTTCTAGAATACTTACCCCCATATTTTTCCATACTTTTTATGGCACTCTAGGTCAAATTTCCACATACCCTGCAAAGAGAAAAAAACATTATTGTTCTAAGTGTGCTGGCCCTATATCTAACTGGGGCACAAATGACTCAAATCCGATGAAATCAAGCTTTCTGACCTTCACTCAATAAAAAGAAGCTGATATTCACAGACATCTGAAAGGAAATACTAGAGACTTTAAAGTCATTCTTGAATTTCTCGGAGAATTGAACATATTGAATTTATACATGTGCTACATTTTCTACAATCCCTAGAAAAACTAGGGAACATGAGAAAAACTAGACTGAAGAAAAGTGACTGAGTCTTTATGGGGTGTGTACATTCTTTCACCTCCTTCGTTATCACATTTTCAGTGATCTCACTCGCACTCTTGATCAAATTCTGGTCAAATTAGGAAGTTGAGGGCACCAAGGACCACTTTAGTCTACCAGAGTTATGGAATTCTCAGGGCTGTTGTTGAGTGAGAAAGTGACCAAGTGAGGAATGACAAAGTGGTCTTCCTTCCTGCACTC